TCTTTAGAGATTTCCATATCATAATTTGCAATAATATTGCACCACAAGCTTTTCACAAGGGAAGAAACCAAAACTTCATTCACTATTTTGTCTACTGGGAGACAAGTGAACTTGTCTTTTACTAAAAACTAACTCACTAACTTCCATTACACTTACAAGCCATAAATGAGGTTACCAAAGGCCACCACAACGATTAAATGTACTCATTGTCCTTTGTTGCAGTTCGCATTGAATACATCAAGGCTTGAATTTCTTTGTTTCTCTGGGAGTGCCACCTGGAACAATTCTTGCTTTTTCGATACAAAGATCTTATCATGAGTTCATAACCAGCCAAATAGGTCAATGGCCAAGCTCTTGTGATGATACAGAAACTTCTTCCTAAAATAAGTTAATAAAAATACAATAAATGCTAATACACTGGGTAAATTGAGCTACTATATTTCTACCCAGGGATATTACCCTGGTCCATTACCTTTTGGAAACCAAGATGGTCGTGGGTACAGGGTAGTTGTATTTTAAAATTATTAAATAATTTGAGGGAACTTTATATAGGTTTGACCAGTATTATATATTATACAATTTATAGACCTTATTGAAATACACTACCTCCAGACATACACCATCTAGCTAGCTGGGTCAAACTGATAAATATAACTATGTCAGAAACTCAGAAAACAATTACCTCAGAGTCAAATGGTTGCGCAATACATGTCAACAAACGCTCTGGGAGATGAATTAGGATGAAAAACATAATCTTCTTGTTAGGATAAGGATGAAAATATTGTTGCCAATGGGCGTTTGTATTGCCATAAAACTCCTTTAGACAGTGTTCTTTGCTCTTCTTTCTTTTAATTTATAATATAAAGTTTCAGAAGGATATTGATGTTTTGTTAGACCACCCTTTGACTTGCAAATTTTCTCACAAAAGTCGCAAGGGAATTGCTTATTTCCTTCAACCTAGATTCAAGTTAAATTATAGGTGAGGTTATTGAAAAGGCACGGCTTACTTTTATAAGTTATTTTGATATTTTAACTCACCTCTTCATGCGAATTTTGAACCTCGATCATCACCACCTCGAAGTCCATATCAAGCATTAGCAAGAGTTTGCTCAAAATCGTCTTCAAAATCCGAACTATAGGCTTCATTGCCTTCATAAAATAGCAAAGAACTCTCTTCGTCCATCCCCATGTATTCAATGCCGCTTGGCTCCATAGACCTCGTATGTGACGAGAAAATGGTGATTTTAGTCAAAGATCCCTCTATTTTCTATAAGTTTCTACTATAAATTACAGCTCGAATGCACTATAAGCTGTCACGTGACGTATTTTGTAACATGATATCCCATTTGATCACGTGTTGCTTTGAAGTTTGCCGGCCTTCCAAACCCGGTTAGTCTATATCAACTATGCTAGAGAGTAGAGTATCTAATGCCTTATTTAGCCCGTTCGCCTATTTTTACGTTTTCAATACTAATTTCACTACCGAAACCTCGACATTTGAAAGACTTTTTTGAAAAGTCAAGAAAATACATTCATTAAGGCTTTAACTGTTTAAGTAAAATTGTACATTCAAACGCAATGCGCGTCTTTCACGTTCTTACGAGATTACTACTTCTCACTACTCATCCAGTCTTGACTTTGTTCCTGCATTATAAATTCTCTCGAAATAAATTTTCGTTTCCCGGACGAAAATTACCGACAATCACGGCTAGGCATGTAAATCACATTTTACTGCACAAAATTTCGTCATTTGACATTTCACGAGAACAAATGTTGGCAATTCACGCGGCTCACGAAAATACCCCTTTATATATAGGTTTTACTATATGCGTGTTTAGTCAAATACAGTGCACACGCAGAAACGCACAAGTTCTAACAAACCTGCAGCAGACTTGTAGCAATGCTGTTCCAACAACTTGTCAACATGATCGCACTGCTTGTTCCCAGCTTGTTGACAAGTTGTCAACGGCTTAGCTGACAAGATTATTGAGCTCAACAGGCTTGTTACAAGTTGTTCCAATCACTTGTTATCGTCCTGGAACTCAGCGGTTTTTCAACAAGTTATGAGTGACAACCTTGTAGCAACTTGATAAAACAACAGCATTTTACAACTTGTTGACATGCAAGCTTGCTACAAGCCTGTTGCGAGCACATCTTGTTGACCGAACTTGTACTTTGTAGTGAGATTTATACGTGCAGTGTAGCTGCAAGTTGATCGAAGTTTCTAATATTAAATTATTAAGTTGAATTTCGAAATACCGCCACCATTAATTGTCGGTTATTTTATTTTAAAAATTGGCTATTTTTATTAATATTATGATTCGTTGAATAGCAAAAACAACCGGGTAACTTTTTGTTGTTTTATTTTATGAACCAATCGTTGGCTTTGTTGAGTTTGCATGGTTCATTAGTCGTCGTTTTAATTCTACATTTTAAAATCATCATTCCGATATGTAACACAAACAGATTCCTGTTAATGTTGCAGTTTCAGCGATGTTTGCGAACTGTTTAATAAGGATATCGGCCAGTTCGTTGGCCGTCTTGGTAAGTTTTATAGTATATTCGTATGTGTATACAATGCAAAAAGTTTAAAACAAATTAATCTTGTACTCTGGCTGATGACGCAGGTTGTCTTCAATTGTAGTGGCGTAGTAGAATTTAATACTGAAAATAATGTCTACTTTTATTCAGACTCGCTTGTCAAGGGTAAAACCTTTTTCTTTTGATATATGCCATATGGATATGCATATTGACGTTTAAATGTGTTGTGGAATATACATGCACAATCTGGTGTTTCAAAATTTTATTTGCCTGCCAAATTTATAGCTCTTAGTTCAGAAAACATTGTCGGTCTAATTGTTGTGGCCGTCAAATTAATCGTCTAAACTGGACTAATTTAGTTCGGGAGTTGATCGAGGATACGACAAGGTTCGAGGGCAATTTACGTAAACGATATGAGATTAATGCAATAATGGCGTTGCTTCGTCCTCGCGTATTGTGAAGCTTTTTGTCTTTGAGAGCAGAGAAAAAGTGTATATTCGAAACATCGGTTTTTATTATCCATCGTTCACATCATGTTTTTAGCTCAAGAAGAAGGATTAAGATTTTGTCTCAGAATAGGAACAAATTATAAAATTTAAGGTTTACAACTTTTTGGCCATTCAGGATATTTTGCATTGCTTCAGGGATAAAATGTTTGTGCTCCATTGCCAATTGGCATTGACAAATGCGGTCAGAATGGTACCTGCTGTAGCCATGCATGCAACATACTGTTACTACAACATTTGGTCTCCAAGGCGAATTATGGACACTTTGTGTAAACAGTATAGAGATTATAAAATAATAGAGGGGGCATTGCGGGAAAAATTTAGGCAAACGATCGAAAGGGAAGTTGAAGCTTGAAGCTTGCTATAAATGGGGGCTAATTTAAGTTATACCCAGGGGCCGGTTGTTCAAAGCTGGGTTAGCCTAACCCTAGGTTAACCTAAAATTCAAAGCAAATTTCCCAACAGCTTGTTTACAAATTTGGAAATATTTCTTTGGAGATCTTGTCTGGATCAGTAGGAGTTTTCTTCTCTGAAGTTTTGAAATAAATTTTAACCGAGGCCGAGGGTTAGCGCTAAGGCCACATGAAAAAAATAGTTGGTTAGCGTCCTCGCCCGCCCACAAAAAGGCCCCGCTCAGGATTTTTTTTATTTTAAAAAACCCAACTTTTATTGATCAACGGGCTAGAAAATACATGTAGTATTTCTGTTGACTGTAGTCAATTGTGTTAATAAGTTGCGAAATTGCGTGCGAAAATGACGGTATGAATCATTTTGAAATATATAAAAAATATCTGCACTGCGCAAGAAAATCCAGTTTCGGACCTAAAACCAAGGCGTTAAAAATTAGTAAAAATTTAAAAAAAAAGCGCCCGCCCGCCCACTTTTTGGCAAAAGCTAAGGACGCTAACCAACTATTTTTTTATGTGGCCTATTCCAGCTTTGAACAACCGGCCCCAGGTTTTAACACTACAATTCCTGATTTTATAAACATTGTTTTACTTTTATTTGTGGCCCGTTTTATATATAGAGAATAATACATGGGTGCGCGGAAATACCAGATTTATTTCGAGTGTTGGACATGATATGTTCAACACGAGAAATAAATCTGGTATTTCCAAGCACCCATGTATTTTTCTGTTTATTATATAAAGGACAGTCTTTGAAAAGCGATAATTTTTACAGAAAAGCGATAATTGAAAAGCGATAATTTTCACATGTGAGATTATCATGAATAATCTCACATGTGAGATTATCACTTTTATCAGTGCTCGAAGTACTATTTAAAGCACGAGTAGGAGTGTTTTATCACATATAAAACACGACGCGTAGCGGAGTGTTTTATATGTGATAAAACACGACTACGAGTGCTTTAAATAGCTTAAAAAACGACCCATATTCTGATGAGTACATTAGCGAAGTAATTTTTAAAATAAACTTTGTCTAAACCGAGAAAATCAAAGCTAAAGTTTATGTAAATTAACATGATTTTTTATCACATATAAAACCACGACACGCTTATGATGTTTCTTTGTGTTTTGCTCCTGAATTATTAATGAGTTTTTTAAATCTCTATAAAGCACTGTACTTTATATAATAAACGGTATTATCGTGGAAAATGATAAAAATTTGGACGTGTCGAAGTCAAGATTGAGAAGAAACTACACCGCTTTTTAACATCAGAAAAAGCACTAAGTTTAAACATTTCTACCGTTCTACAACTTATTTTGCATTGAAGTCGAGGTATTCTTGTTTATTTTGAGCATCTAGTCCTTGCTTGAACTGTGCTAAAACTGAAAAATATCGATGTTTTCAACTGTTGTATTAATTTCGAAACTTCCCGCTTCTAAAAATCGCGGCTTTGCATCCGGGAATGAGAATTTACATCTGGGCAACGAGATTTTAGCCAATCGGAGAGCGTTATTTGCCCTCATTAGGCAATGCCCACTCTATTCTTTTATATAAATCTCTATGTAAATTCAGGTCTTGCAGTCACGCAGGAATATTACATCACGTTTAGCCAGGGCCTTTTTAAAGGATTTTCCCGTGGGGGGGGGGGGCATTTTTTGAAAAGGGACCTTTCTGCGAGTGTGGCTACTATACTACGCATGACTGGGGGGGGGGTCTGGGGGAGTACTCCCCCAGAAAATTTTTGAAATTTTAATCCCGGAAATGTCATTTCCTGCATTCTGAGCATCCAAATTTGCTCCAAAATTTATGCTAACTATACTTGTATTTGAAATAAATAAAGGAAAAAACGCACAAAAAGTAAAAAAAATTAACCATCATTTATCATTACTTATTAGAGGAGGATAGCAATGGTCAGGTGAGTGGGTGTGTATTTCCCCAGAAAATTTTTGAAATTTGAAGCACGGAAATGCCATTTAATTAACGAATATTAACTGTAATTTATCATTACTTATTAGAGGGATAATCCCGAGAAAAATTTTGAAATTTGAAACCCGGAAATGCTATTTCCTGCATTCTGAGCATCCAAAAAATAAAAAAATTATTAACAATAATTTATCATTACTTAGTGGTAGAAAAAAGTAACAATTTAAATCGATTTTGTTAAACAAGAACAAAGGATAAAGCCTAAAACTTACTTTCCGTTTATGTATTTGTTAATCTTCGCTGGTTTGTTTCCGTATAATTTTAGAGAAAACGGACTTTTCCTGGGGAGGGGGAGGGGGGCAAAATGTGATTTCGTGGGGGGGGGCACTGGGGGGCATTTGCCCCTCCAGCTTGTATGTTAAAAAAGGCCCTGCGTTTAGCCCGTTTTCCACCAGGCGAATTTGTTCGCGGGAAGCGAAAAACAAATTTCGGTTATGTGATTGGTCAGCGAAAAAATTCGTAGTGAAAAAATTGGATCAGTTCCTACTTTTTTTCGCGCGAACAATTTCCCCCTAGTGGAAAACGGGCTTTTGATAAGAAATCCGAGATTTTGGGTGGCAAAAGTAATGGTGAGCACTATGCTATGGCCATCAGAGGAAACCACTGTCTGAATTCGCCGGAAAATGGCCTTGGTGAATCATTTGTGAATCAAAAGCAATGACTTGGAGCTCTATATCGAAGTAATTAAACTTCTTTATGCCTAGGGTGAGGCGGTTCAGGGAAAAACCGAAATTCGTTTGAAAAAGCTCGAAAAAATTATTTTTATAACTTATGTCAAAATGTACTACAGTTTAGATTTTGAAACTTCACGCTACACGTTCAAGACTTTAGTTTTAAAAACAATTTAACGGTATAGAATTGCCTAATATGTAAGCGGTAAGCCACCATTAGGTGTGCTATTTTCTCATCGTTTCAACGTTTGAAAGTTGGAAGTTTCGTCAGAAAACGTTGAACGAGCGCGTGATTTTGACGTTCTGCCGTTTTGCTTCAATTTTATAATACTGAGTTTCAAACAGTTTTTTCCGAATTGTTTCAGGTTTTTTGCCTATAGAACAACATCGGTGAATCGGTTTCCAAAAAACATCGGTTTTTCACTTTTTTTCCGAATCCCACTAGCGATAAAACTGATATCATCTTGCCCCCCATATGATAACAAAACTAAAACATGATTTTCTTTCCCTGAGACTCTACTGGTGATGTAATATTTCAAATCCGACTATGAGGACTGGACTAGATTTTAGTTCCGCGCAATTTGAGTGAATTTGATCAAGTCCAAGGCGAAGCCGAGAACTGGATCAAAATGCGAGGACTTGAAATCTAGTCCAGTTCGAATTGGAGGATTTGAAATGACATCTCATACGAATAAATCACTACTTAAAGTGAGGTGAATTAATTTCGATCGAGTCCAAGGACTGAATTAATTTTGATCCGGTATCCAGTATTATCATGTGAGCAAAATATAGCAATATGGTTGGCTAATTTACTCATGAATTATTAATGAGTTTGAGATGTCAATGCATGTATATTGATTTCCTTACGAGTATGAGCCTGGCAAGCAGAAAATTAATTCTACTTGACCACGGCCGGGAATTGAACCCGCGACCTTCGTATTTCCAGAACGACGCTCTACCGTCTGAGCTACAAGGCCAAGTTGGGAACGATGTTACTTATTTATGATGTTAATGATATATCAGAATTTCGTACTTCCATGCCTGGTGCCAGCTATTAGTCCAGCGAATGTTGTACATATGATTTTTTTATTGATATTGATGTTGTATATATGATTTTTACCAGCCGTGGTCAAGTAGAATTAATTTTTTGCTTGCCCGGCTCATACTCGTAAGAATATCAATGCACCAAAACATTTACATCACCAGTAGAATCTCAGGAAAGAAATCGTATACAGCGCGCAACCTGGCATATGGATGGACGAAATTCTGATATTCCATTGCATCACAAATAAGTAACATAGTTCCCAACTTGGCCTTGTAGCTCAGAAGGTAGACCAACTGTTAAATATCATACTAGTAAATATCATGCCAATCAAATTGCAGAATAGCTTATTCCCGGTAGTTGTCTACATAATAATTAGCATTAATACTCGACTTTTTTTCAACTTTTAGGTTATTCTACTCTCATGTGTTACGAACAAAGCCATAGGTGGTCCAACAGCTGCACCTACAGGTTGCGAATTTTTCAAAAAATATTATAACGTGATTATGAGTTTTTCAGGGGGAATATCTGTAAGAAACATGTATCCTCGAAAGGTGGTGTGCGGATATTAAATGGAATAGCCCATTATAAATCTATAATCACGCCGCTACATGCCGGCAGTGTTCTAAAGTCGAATATTAGCACGAAAAATAATCTGAAAAGAAATCAAGTAAATAACTGATTTGGATTTCCACGAATTCGTAGCGATTAAATTTGCTCTGAATTCGTACTTATCCCAGAATACTAATATGAACATTCTTGTGATTAGACGACTATGGTAAAATAATTTTTTCAATTTATTTTATCATTTCATCTTTTATTACGAAATGTCACTGAGTGTATCATGCACCATGTCATTTATTCTACAAATACTTTTTATACTGGTATAATATTATAGCTCTGTGCCCAAAATTACGTTACAAGTTGCAGTAAATAGCGATTATGAGACCCATACTTCACGTTTTATTTCATTACCATTATATACATAAAAGCCAGTATACAGACGAGAAATCTATGACAAATTTTTTTCACTCGCCTTTAAAGTCAACTTTGACAATTTTCTATGGCCAGCCCACGTTTTCAAATGCTAGCATATTAGCTTGTCGCTTGTCATAGAAAATAATTTGGCACAGGACGAATTTTGCTTGTCTGCAGTGGCACCTTTTTTGGATGGGGGGGGGGACTTAATAATTTGTGAGTCACATTTCTAGGGGGGGGGGTCATGCTCTTGAATTTTTAGGTCTCCGAAACGGCATTTCCTGTATTGTGGAAACACTTGGAGAAAATTGTGAAGGTCTTAATCAATCGCCTTTTAAACAATGTCAGTATTGATTTCAGAATACTTGACGATTTAATTCAGTGGGAAAGTTAGTCACAAAGAGCATTTATTAGAACAAAGTTCAGTAGATTCTATTGGTAAAAATGCGTGCATGATACTTAATACTGTCTTCTTTTCCACCACCCCCCCCCCCCTCTCCCCAATATTAAAAAAGGTAAAATAACAATGTCCAAATTAGGTAAATGCATGAATTAAGCAAGCGTGATAGGCAGTGGTGCCAAAAACGAACGTTTCAGCAGCTATTTAAAGGATTTACAATTGAGTACATTTTCCGATATTTGGACCATTAAATAAATTTCTCGCCCTTGAACTCAAAATGCGTTTTAAGCTTTTAAATTTCGCGCGCAAGCTATTTTTAATGCTGCGAAAAAGACCGCCCCCCTGCTCTGGAAAATTTATCTTTACGAAAATATTTTGTTTATTCTACATTATAAGTATAGGTAATCATGCGATGGCGAGTACAATTTGGGATTAATAGTACAAGTGATGTTTGGAAATTTTGCCAAAATTGGACGAGCCGCCGTACTTGTTTATTATTAGCATGACAAAATTGGATACTTCTCAATGTCAACATCATATTCTCTCGCCAAAGCCCAGTCCTGCCAGACTTTCAACCAAAATTTGGTGCTTTTGTTCGTATTTTAATTTAGTTCTTTTGTTAAAGCAACATTTGGTGCTTTTGTTCGTATTTTCATCTAGTTCCTCTAGGGCAATTTCATTTCACATTTGTATTTTGTTAAAATACATTTCCGCCATTTTGTTTGTTTCGGGAAAATCATTAATTGTACTGCAGTACAATTAATGAAATAATTGTACTCCTCTCAACCAATCAGCATCCAGTAATTTTGTCATGCTAATAATAAGTACCCAAACAATCTATATTTATTAAAAATGTCATGAAATGGACGGATTTGTGAAATTGAGAGCCGTTTCAAAATTGTCTACTTTTTTATACACCCTGAATAGTATTCAGGAGACTCCTGTTTCTTCATTTTACATGACGTGAAGACGAAATTTATGGGAAACATTGACAATGCTGTCCTGAACATTATAATGTGCTACTTTTGTATTTAACATCTGTAACCATGGCAATTTTAAATTTTCCTAGCCAAAATTTTGTCTAAATCCGAATCATCCCATTCACTGATTTGCCAAATCCCATTCCGAGCAGCGAACTTGCTGGTGAAATCCCATTCCCATGAGTTCAAATGACCAAATTCCATTTCTGGATTCCCAATCGGCAAAAAATCCCTGCTCCCATTTTGCCCCATTCGCGACTATTTTATTAGTTTGATTTAAAATTGATCAGTATGTTACTGGCTTGATGGGAACTTGAGTATATGTTGCATGGTTGGTTGCTTCTTTGGTTGAGTTAATAATGATTAAATCTTGTATTATTTAGGTTGTGGCGCTACTGAAGTCCTCGCAATTGGAATGGAAAATGGGTTAATTATATGGTCACAACTGTCCGCTTCTTCTTCACTCGAAGGATATAATGCCTCCGATGCAAAACTAAATGGCGCTGGACATTGGTTGCCTGCAGAAGATGATATTGATCCATGGCTACAGGTTGATTTTGCAATTATATTGTGGTTAGAGGAATTAACAACGCAAGGCGCGTCAAGTTCCGAACAATGGGTGAAAACTTTCACGATATCTTACGCGATAAATTTCACAGTATTTACGAACCTTACCGAAAGCGGAGCAATTAAGGTAAAAATTAATGAAAAATATCTTGCTGAAAACATGAAGTTTATATCTAATATTAGGAAAGGAGTTCAAGTGAAATGATCACAAGTATAGCTTGACACGAATACTGTCTGATCTGATCTACAGGGTGTATAAAAAAAACTGAACAGATTTTAAATTGCTCCCAATTTTGCAAAACAGCCATTAGTATCTAGTTTTTGATGTATATAGCTTCTTTGGGTACTTATAAGGTAGATTATGATCCTGAAGATCCAAGAACATTTAAGTCTGTTTGTATTAAATGTCACACCACTCGCCCACTAATGAACTTATCAACTCGAACATGTTGCTAAATTTTGTTTTTGTTCGTTTGTTCGTCAATACGTTTGCTTTGTCGTCTTGTATTTGTGTTTAATTGTTATGTTTGCTTTAATTTTAAAATAATTAGATATACCATAAGTTGTTCTTTTTTGGAACCCCGCGTTATTGGAGAACTATCTCTGTGTGCAAATTCCAGTAATTTGTAACCATAGTACTCTATATAGATCTATTGCAATGGCAAACTGTAAAATAAAATAAAATAAAATAAAAGAGTCGTATCGTATAAATGGGTCTTTAAAATGTTTTCTTTCCTGTTTAGTTAATTCTGTTTTAGCTTCTTCGGTTCTGTTGTGATTTTACGTGTCACTCAATGATTCAACAGAAATTCGAACATAAACTGATTATTTCCCTCCTCTTTATATCGAGAAATCTTTACATGAATATACTCATTAAAATGCGAAAGAAGCGATTTCACATGCGAAAATTCGTGTCAACGGCCCATAAACGACTAGCCGCAATGTTCCATTAAAATCGATGTTTGGTTTTATTGCATTCTTTTAGCCGTCCATGTTTCATACAGTGTAATTTGGATTATGTCTACAGACTATTCTAGGAGTATATAACTTGACTAATATACAAAATACTTTGTAACTCTCCTTTGTGTAATTGATATGTAGTATTAATTACAATTTGATTGTGGCATTCTGTGAAGCCTACCTAAAGTTATAAATATATTTTTTGCATTTACATAGATATTTCCTGCAAACACTGACCACAATACAGGAGTCAAGACAGTTCTCCCGGCAGCGATCTCAGTCCGGTTTCTTCGTATCCATCCAAAAAGTTGGTCGAATCGCCCTGCACTAAGGCTGGAATATCATGGCTGCTATAAACGTGAGTGATGCATGGTTGGCCCTAATTCTTGCTACTACTATACTTTATGTTACTACTTTATGTTACTACTTTATGTAGCTTACAGTATATTTGCGCATTTCAATCGCGATGTTAATAAGGGAACTGTAATACCTTTCAAATTTGACCCTGTCTACCCTAGCTCGTTAACATTGCTTTAAAAAGCAATGTTAACGAGCTAGGCTTTGTTTTTGCTGGGTTTGTTTTCAAAAATCTGCACAAAAATCTTTTTTTAGGTCTCGCGATCCTGGGTCCACCTAGCTTATGCCACCAATTTGCGCTGTTTGTCGGGGGTGGGGGGATCCTCGTTAATCAGTGATTTGTAGTGTGGTGGAATATTTCACTGTTGTGACCATAAATAACACAGTACGTTGCACAAATAAAACATACTTTGCTTTGGCCTTGCTCTATCGGTTTTACTTCACTTATTTGCACCGTTTATCGAGAGGGGCAAACTTAGTACGTCTTTTGCACTGTCTACGATGGAGTTCACGTTAATCAGTCGCTGGTACAGCAAAGGGTCCTTAAAAATCGCTTTGAGTAAAGCGATGTGTCGAATATGCCTTTGGTCAGACAATACAACATTTCATGTGGTTGTTCAACCAAAATACTCGCTTTAGGTGAGACGAAATGTAGAATATGCCATGGTGCATATGGCAAGATTTCATTTTGGTCATTAAAACAAAAATGTTTAAAAATTCGCTTTGGCTGAAGTGAGTGGAAATATATGCCTTTGGCGAGGCATACAGCCAGGCAACATGTCATTAAAAGCAAAGATATAGAAACGCTTTATGTAGTGTGATGTCATACTGATGATAGTTGCATATACATAAACAAAGTTCAATATCTTGGAAAGGAACAGAGCTACAAGTATATTGTACCAAAGAGGTTATACATGTTTAGTATAATTTCAGTATTGAAAAATGGCTTTTGAGCATTCTGATTGGCTCTCTCAGCAGTAACTCGGGCGCCATGGTTACTGCTCAGACTGTTCTGAGCAGTAACTATTGCTTTTTTAAAAAAATAGGTACGCAGCGCGTACATGTGACTATCGCTGTTTAGACAGCTACGGGGATTGTGTTTTCTAAGTACTAGATCTGAAACATGAGCAGCCGATCTTTATCTCATATAAAAACTCGAGCCGAAGGCGAGAGTTTGTATATCAGATAAAGATCGGATGCGAATGTTTTATCGTGCTTATAAAACGATATATCTTATGAGTTAATTGGCGAAGTAATTTTAAAAATAAACAGTGTCTAAGCCGAGAAAATCAAAGCTGAAGTTTATGTAAATCAGGAGAAATCTTTAATCTTTATGCGATTTACAAACATTGATTAAACGTCCATTTCTTTTGAATTGTCTTCATGAATTATTAATGAGTTTTATAATTCAATTTGAAGAAATGCAATGGCGATTCCTTATATATAATAAACTATAAACGAGAAAACGTAAAGAACATTAAGAGTAAAGAACATTAAAATACGCCTATAAAAAATACTGTGTGTGTGTTTTGTGAATGTAACCGATAACTGGATTCTTGCTTCTTGAAGTCATAGTGCGGTGAAAAATATAATCTTACTAAATTCAGCAAGCTTAAGGTTTGGTCATTTTATACCCAAGCATGCTTTACCACTACCAAATATCCGCCAAGCTATTGGTTATCGAAATATGCGTAAACCTACTAAGTGCTGGTGTTCAGTAAACATTTTGTTTCCCTTTATGTTGTGGGGTCTTGACTGAGAATGTATAACTTTAAGACAAAGAAACACTTTATAATCGGCTTCATGATTGTGAGGAATACATATAAACATTCGAGAGAAAGAAAACCAAAGATATGTAATGAGATGTGAGACGTAGCTGATCAGCACATGCAGGTAAAAGCCTAATGCCCATTTCAATTAAACACGATATACACTGTGTATAAAAAAAAACTGAACCCTTTCAAATTAGCTATAACGTATTGTAGTAATTTGACAGCTGTAACTGCTTTGAATTAATGATTGGGTAAGAACACCAGGTCTTGTACTCATGGGACAAAACTGAAAGAAATAAAAATTAGAAAATTTAAAAGAAATACAGTATTCTTTCCTCAATACTGAAATTATACTAGAACAATTTAGTCGCCCAGTGAATATAGGCTTGCAATCACCTCGCCTTTGGCGACTAATTGTTAAATAGTCATTTTAAGCGATATTTGCAATGCAGTCAAGAAAAGATTAGGTGAAATGTCGTGTCATAAAAGTATTTAATCTAATTGACATATCAAACTCACTAGGGACACTTGCCCTCAAGACGTAACAGCCCACACAAAGTTAGATATCGCTTTATATCTGGTGCGTGAGCTTCTCAGCACAGATAAGTTTAAATATGCTGGAAGTGCGACCAGGATTGAACATAATGGTTTTTGAGACGTTCTCCGTTGAAGGTTGCAGTCTGGCAGCCGAAAGCTCGTGATAACCTGTTAGTTTGGAATCATAAGATTTATTCAAAAAATATAGTATGTCTTTGCGCTTGTAGTGCACTTGCTTAAGTCGGCAACGTGATGTTTTTCACATGTTCTAGGCTACCACACTGTAGTATTACGTTTGGTTTGTAAGACGTTTTCCCTCTCTTCCGAACCCATTAGAAGCAATTGCAGCACAGTTTTAAAAATTATAGTCACTCAACTTTCTAACAAACCCTTTTGATTAAACGTTTCGATAAAATTCCCGTCGGGTTTTCAACTTTATTTCGGTTAACCATACTGCAGATGATATGGCGTAACTACCAAATACATCGGGTATCGGTAATGTCTCATATGTGTATGCGTGTACAAATGCCCTCCAGGACTAAATTTTTCGAAGAATTTCCTTTTGTTTGATGCCAAATTGTTTGCATTTTGAGCAGTTTGAATCTCGGATATCGTTATTTTTAACGAATATTTATTGTGCATGGTAAGATATTATTATATTGTGCGTGTTAATATATTGCTCGGGGAGAAGCAAAGACATTTATTGTCTTTAGCTTCTCGTAATTCTCCAAGAAGCTGGCTGATATCACCGGGGCTGAAAATTATTTAACCTCAATCGTAATATTCCCTATTTGTTAATTCAGTTAAAGGTATTATGTGGGGAAGCGAGCAGTGAAAATATATAACAAAGTCCATTGGCATGTCGTTCCCATTCGTTGCATCTTTTCATTTCACAGAAAACTACATTTTTCTGAAAATTTTACCAGTTTAAAAGTGGATAGTATCTAATTATACCAAGGCCGGATAGCACTCATAGTGATTATTTCAAATTTTTTAAAATTGAGCGTTGAACAGTTTTTACCAAGATTAAAGTTTATCAATTATTAAAGAGCTTTTTATATTTACTGTGAGACCCAAGGTGAGTCCGTATCTGCAATTTCACGGCTTTGTAGGCGGAGGTTGAAAAAATCACTATCTTATAAAAGCTTCGCACATGCAACCGTGGCCTCCATATATGATGAGTGATCTTGAGAGATGCTGAATGACAAGATTTTCACGCTATCTGGTCCGCTTATATATGCATGCAACCTGTCTGGCTAGACAAGTCTATGGTCAGCCTCGTACCCAGGCTCTTTCCACTACGCTTCTCGCTGGAGGAAAGACCCTGGTCCATGCTGGTCACGTGTCTCCCAGATTTTGGGAGATAACAATTGGGACTTGTGCATGGGGGTGGGGGGGGGGGGTAGGGAAGGCAAATATGGCGTTCGAGTTGCTAAACGAGTTCAAAACAATACAAGGAGTGTGAATAAACAAAGAATTACCATGAAACGGAATTTGCGACGAAGTTGTTAATAAGGCCTGGGAGGGACGTTTGAAATTAAACTCTTTATAAACGTTAGTAGACGATAGATGTTCTTCTCGAAGCTCACTCAACGACACAGCCTGGGGTTTAGTTTTATATCAACAAGAAAAGGCAGAATGTTCAGAGAATTAGAAAGTTGCTGTTGAGTGTTGTATTCGGTAGAACATTTATTTAAACAGTATCATGATTGGATATTACATGATATTTGTGAGCGATTAAATAACCGCTGTTCGCGTAAAGTACTGTGTTTTCGATTTTCCAACGTGACAGTTTTAGCGCAGTCAATCCTTATGCAGGCTAACGCTATTGTCGGTTGGTTTATTGGGTGTTTACTTACATTGTCGTTCATATGTATGATTTTATATGTTATAGAGTGTTCTACTGCTAAACCTCTGCCTTTTCTGGACAGCCAAATTACGTCTGAAAACTTTTATTCTGACTATACGGCTCGCCACGCGAGACTAGAACACTCTGGTGGTTGGGTTTCGGAAAATGCTCAGATGTCGTGGTTAATGATAGATTTTCTACAGCGAACTACAATGACGGGTTTTACAGTTCGAGGTAGCCCAGTCATCAATATGTGGAGTCCCTCCTTCACATTTGAATACAGTAACAATGGGTATACGTTTGAAACTTTCAAAGAAAGTGGGAGCACGAAGGTGAGCAAGATAATTATTTAAAATTAAGCACCAATTTTTAAAGAGCAAAATTTTATTAAACCAGATTTGAGTTCACGTGAAACAATCTTAACATCAATACACAATATTAGCATATACGCGGGAGGTGGATAGTGCTTTTCGTGCAATTTGATTGGTTGCTCAACTCCGGATAGCCTTGCACTCATTATTTACCTCCTGACCAAAACAAAATGACTTCTCGACGCTTCGCGTCTCGGTGAACATCCTTGCACTATTCACCTCCACTTCGGTGAATAATTGTTAATAATCCTGGTAATGAAGGTAAGAATTTAACTAGGATCCCTCCTGGCCATCTACAATTATGCATTTTGTTGCCATTGCCTTGCTACAAAAAACAAATAAAGATTAAAACGTTTCTTTACCTTTGTCGCAGAATTTGATGTTTGCCTTCAACTAACATAACTGGACAGTTGGTTCGACACACATGCGCGCGTTACGCTTTTTTAACTCTTATTGAACAACTGAACTGTACGCTACGATTAATACTTGATCACTGTCACGTACAATCTCAATCTGGTAGAATCTAGTCAAAGTACTGTTTGTCATGGTGTTTGCAATATACCAACTCCTCAACTCACGAACGTTGCATGATTTTCCACAAAGAAATTGTATTTTTTAACACAGTGCATGGCTGCGTACCCAACCCCTAACCTTAACTAACCCAACCCCTAACCCTAACCATTTGGAAAAACACGAAAATCACACGAAGTTGGAGAGTTGGTACTATTTTCAAACCGACCAACTATAAGCATTGTTTTAGCATAATTATTCCCAGCTGACAATTAAAACAGAAATCCCAGTGCCGGTTAAGAAAAAGGAAGTAGTAAAAGGTTGTCAATTAAAACACAGCTATCAATGATGCTTTAAACTTGACGCCATATTTACAACAAATAAGCAAAACCTACTGAACTTCAGACATTATTTTCTCTTTGGCGTACCATCGATAATCACTTCATTTTAGCACTAATATTTTTAAAATATCCTTAATAATTCATAAACCTTGTGGCAAATCATGTCAGCCATAATATGTCACGTGGAGTGACTTATATTTGATAAAACACATGTGGCATTGTATAATTGTTCATTCTAATTAGTATTCTTATATAAAGAATACTAATGAGACGGCATCTTTTATGGTCGTATTTTAAATATAGGTTAAAAGCCAAGGGAGAGGTTTTTATTAAACTCTTTACAGTTTAATAAAAACCGATACCCGCGGCTTTTAACTTGTTTATATACTCATCAGACCATATTCTTTTGAATTTTGGAGGTTTTTTTCATTAAAAATTCAAGCTATATTAATTCAATGAGAGGTCGCTGCAGTTGTGGGACGAAATAACTAGGTGTAACATGCGCATTAACACGCTTTAAAATGTGGTTAAGCATGCGCAGTATATCATTTCACGTCCCACAAGCAAAAGAGCAGATATTACTGTATAAATTCCCTGCACAAGCATGTTTGATGGTTGATCCAGCTAGTCCTCGTGCGCCGAATGATAGATACTCTTACCTAATGGTAGAGTTTTGACGGGCTCTGAGGTACACGGCTGTTGTCTGTTTCTCGACTTAGAGACGTGCAACGTTTTCTAGTCGAAAAGGAGATGTGGGTCTTGAGTTTTCCTGCAAATTCAAGTCCCGAATTCAAGACTCATGCCAGGTCTTGAATTGAAAATGTAAAACCAGGTAACTGGTTATTATTTTTTCGTAATAACCGGGTAGCAGGTTATTACGGAAAAATAATAACCTGGTAGCAGGTTATTACGGAAAAATAATAACCTGGTAGCAGACTAGCAGGTTATTATTTTTCCGTAATAACCTGCTACCCGGTTATTATTTTTCCGTAATAACCTGCTACCCGGTTATTATTTTCCCGTAATAACCTTCAACCCCGTATTTCCCCCGGAGAAATCAAATACCACCGCCTGCTTTTAGACTGAAGGTTATTACGGGGGAGTTAAAAACCGACGAAATACAAAAGAATATGGTCTGATGAGTTTGTAAGTACTAGTTAAAACACTCGTTGTCGTGTTTTATTATAAGTAATAGCATGGCATTCAGGGCGATTAGTGATTAAATGTACCCGAAAGCCGAGAGAAGGTTTACTAAACCTCTCGAGGCTTGAGGGACATTTCATCACTAATCGACCGTAATGCCATGCTATTACTTTGTAATATCATAGTTGCCGAGGGAATCGCGCGTGGTGTGTTGCCTGTTTTGAATGCTGCTTGATTGTCTTATGATTGTGGTACGAAGACTTTTCATATATACCCACGCGCAGAAACACGTTTCCGTGTTCATTCGTTTTAGGCATGCGCATAAACGGTATTTTCTCCCACAATTGTAATGTTCAAGATTAGGGAATAAAAGCTGGCAAAGTGATTGTTCGAATGTGTACGGGACGGTGTCGTCAGATACTGTCCATAGTTGTGCCGATGATTTTCGATGAGGTACAGCTCTCCAATCAGAGGTAACGAGGTACGCTTTTGTCTTCTAAATTTCCCTCATCAAGCATGCAAGGGAAAATTAGAAGACAAAGAAATCCTTTGTTTTCAACTAAATTTCCCGGGGAAATTTAATTGAAAACAAAGGATTTCTTTGTCTTCTAATTTTCCCCTGCATGCTTGATGAGGGAAATTTAGAAGACAAAAGCGTATGCATGGGTAATGAGGTAAATTAGTGATTAATCGTACCTCGCGAGACAAAGGATTTCGAGGCAACTATGGTATTACTTATAATAATAACATGACTAGAGGGAAATTTGCGATTAAATTGCCCGAGGCCGAGGGAAGATTTCCCAAGGCGAAGGGCGATTTAATCGTTAATTTCCCGACTAGCCATGTTATAAGTTTGTAATATTATGATCACCGAGGAAATCAGGCGTGGTGTGTTGGTCTGTTTTGAATGCTGTTTGATTGTCTTATGATTGTGGGATGAACACTTTTCGTATATACGCACGCGCAGAAACACATCTCTGTGTTCATTCTTTTTAGGCATGAGCATAAACCGAATTCTATCCCACAATTGAAATGTTCAAGATTGCGGAATAAAAACTGGCAAAGTAGGTCGTTTGCTGCATCCCGATATCGTTCACTTTCATTTCGCATGTCTTGGAACTGAAATATTTTTACGGGAACTAACACTTTCGAACATGCTGAGTTCAAATCCGGAAAGTTCCCGCTCCATGCAACTGCTATTTTATCTTCACTAATTTCACGACAAAGTTTTTCATTGTTCACCGACACGGATGGATGACGACAAACGATTATGTCACTCAAAAGAACCAATTTCTGTTAACCAGTCTTCCTTTAACAAAAGACAGTTTTGCTCGAATCATTTTGAGTTATGTAATCTTATGCGTGTTGGACGTAAACAACACATCTTGTCTACAACTTTGAGAAAGTACAGATAAGGCTTTCTGAAATCATCAGTTCTGGCTCTATCTCTATAAAATTGCAAGGACGTTAATGCTTAGTTTTTGGCTATGTCTCTGGGCTGAGAAATAATTCTTTACATGCGATCAAAATGTTTTATACAACGACGTAAAACGGTAAAGTCATGTAATGGTCTAATGGATCAGCATTTAAATTTCCAACACAGTTTTTGAGACGTAATTCAAGAGGTAACTTATCATTGCATTTGAACTATTATATCAGTTGGTGTTATTCTGTGCGATTAGCGAGTATTATTGGAAAGAGGGCTTTCATATACGTTGTAATCACCAAATAAACAGCTCATGCACACATTTCTCCACTTCGTCGTAAGTTTACAGAGCAGATTTTATACTTTGGCACTGATATTTGTCTTTAATGTGAACATTAATTGTTCTAGTTTAAGATTATTTAAGAGTGATCCTGTCGTAGGTCTTCTACCAGCAACCCATCGACAATATTTCATTTTAGTGTTGTCTTTGCCGTTCCGTTGGCTTCGCGTTACTTTTGTTTTAAATTCCTTGATCGCGTTAAAGGAGTTATTTCTCAACTCAGAGACATAGCCCAAAGACTTAACATTAACGTCCTTGTGATGTCCTTGTAACGTCCAGAACTGAGGATTATAGAAAGCTTTATTTGTACCTTCTCAAAGTTGTCAGGGCGGTAGCGAGGGGGTATTGGGGGGGGGGGGGGTTAACCCCCCCCAACTTTTTTAGAATTAATATATTCGGAAAATCGGGTTGGCCATTCGGAAAATTACGACAATGTAATCTTATGCGTGTTGGACGTAAACAACATATATTGTCTACAGGGGCGAAACTTGAGGGGGTATGGGGGGAGGTGTGACACCCCCCCCAAAATACGAATCAGTCTGGATTGGCAGGGCGAATTATCTGGATTGGCAGGGCAATCAAAGATTTTAAATGATAGAATGTAGAGTTATTAAGTAACTTACAGGGCTTTCAGAGGGAATTGAATAGAATTTATAGACCTAAATTTTACAGATATTGATAAAAAAATAAGGGTTTCACCCATGTTTTAACAGGAATTTGTACGGAAAAAATTTTTTGACTCTTAATTTAACTGGTTTATGTTCGGAAAAATTTTTCGACCCTTTTTTTTAATGTCCGGAAAAATTTTTTTCAATTGAATTTGAATGCTGACCCATTACATAAGATTACCATTTTACGTCGTGGTATAAAACATTTTGATCGTATGTACGGAATTATTTCTTAGCCTAGAGACATAGCCCAAAGACTTGACATTAACGTCCTTGTGATTTTATAGAGATAGAGCCAGAACTAAGGATTTTAGAAAGCGATATCGGCACCTTCCCAAAGTTGTAGACAAAATATGTTGTTTACGTCCAACGCGCTTAAAATTACATAACTCAAAATGATCCAAGCAAAACGGTCTTATGTTAAATGTAGAGACTGGTTCATAGGAATGAGTCATTTTGAGTTATGCAATCGTGTGTCATGATCATCATCCATCCGTGTCGTTGAACAATAAAAAAATTTGTCGTGAAATTAGTGAATAGGTCTACGGAGCGGGAACTTTTCGGATTTGAACTCAGCATACTTGAAAGTGTTAGTTCCCGTAAAAATATTTCAGTTCCAAGAGATGGGAACACGTTTACTAGGGCCTTCTAGGCACTTTTCGAGGTCACAGCAAACGGCCTACAGTGATCGTTCGTATGTGTAAGGGACGGTGTCGTCAGACACTGTCCATACTGTTGTGCCGATGATTTATATCTGATAAAACACTCCTACTCGTGTTTTAAATAGTACATAAACCATTTAATCATTAGGCTATAAATGTGTGTGGAATTTTAACCAATTTCAAGATTAATGATGCTCTTCAAAAATATCAGTGTGATGTCATTTGCATAACAAACAAAGTTGAATATATTGGGAAGGAAGAGTGCTACAAATATTCTATACCAAAGAAGTTATATAGTCATTTTAAGTGATCTTTGCAATTTAATCGAGAAAAGATTGGGTAAAATTTCGTGTGATAAGCACTGTATGTTCGGATATGTTTCTAAAGCGTGCACATGGGAAGAGTAGTGTCGTGTTTTCGCGCAAAAAATAAGAGTTTTTAGAGGAGGTATAGGCCTATTTATGTTACGCAACACGCGCCCAAAACTAGCGACTGTAATATACCATTTGGTTATGACTAGCAACATTCAAAAGATTTTAATTTTTGATGCGTTTCTGAATCGGCAAACAAACTCAATTAATGTATTGAGTATGTTTAGTCATTTAGTGCTTTATATGTACTATTTAAAGCACGCGTAGAACTGAGTGTTTAAATGACTTAATTAAAAACGACCCATCTTATGAGTTCATTGGTGAATTATTTTTAAAAATAATCATCGTCTAAGGCGACAAAATTAAAGCTAAAATTTATGTAAATTAACATAGTTTTCACATATAAATTATTGAATATTGAATGAATTAGATTAATTATTAATGAATTTTTGAAGCACATATAAACACAATTATTGTTGTTTATATCGTTTCCCCACAAGATAAACACTCTGTTATAGAAACTTATTGTTTCAATAACAAACAAGGTTGAATATCTTGGGAAGGAAGAAAGCTACAAGTATTGTACCAAAGAGGTTATAGAGTCATTTTGGGTGATCTTTGCAATGCAATCAAGAAAAGATTGGGTGAAATCTCGTGTCATAAGTACTTAAATTTAAAAGCAATTGACATGTTAAGCTCACTAGGCTCACCATGGTTTGATTACTACAAAACATAGCGAGTCCTGTTGAAAACGATCGAAATCGACTGTTTAAAGTAACGTTTAGGTTGAATTTTAATCACAAGTTTCACAGAAATACAGATATAAATCACAACGGTCACAAACGTTTCCTCTACAAGTCACGCCATGTCACGGGGTCACGCCATATCACGTGATTTCCAGTTACCTTATATGAATGTTAAATGAAGTCTCCGATAGCCCGAACGACCTTAGGCATCGCTTTATATTCGGTGTGTGAGTTTGTTAGCACAGATAAGTTTGTTTTTGTTAATCTGTTAGTTCGGAATCATAAGCCTTGGTATTTATTCAAAAATAGTATGTCTTCGCGCTTGTCGTGCACTTGCTTAAGCCGCCAACGTGCTGTTTTGCGCATGTTCTAGGGTACCACACTGTAGTACTACGTTTGGTTTGTAAGAAGTTTAGAAGTTTTCCATTTCTTCCGAACCCATTAAAAGCAACTGCACCACCACTCGCCAGTTTTAAAAAGTATAGTCATTTTGCTTTCTAACAAACCCTTTCGATTAAACGTTTCGATAAAATTTCCGTCGGGGTTTTCAACTTTATTTCGGTTAATCAGACTGCAGATGATATGGCGTAACTACCAAATACATCGGGTATCGGTATAGATGTCTCGTATGTGCATGCGTATACAAATGCACCTTCAGAAGTAAATTCTTCGAAGAATTTCCTTTTGTTTGATGCCAAATTTAACGTAGTGTTTACGTCCCCAGTTTGGTATGCAAATTGCTAGCTTCAATGTTTATTTACAGTTTTGAGAGATGGTTTATTTTCAGTTTAAGGTGGCTCGATGTAGGCCTTGAAATAAAATGTTGATTACTTCTGATTTATTGGTAAACTTTGGGAATTTTTCTTGATAAACTTCGATGAACTTCAAAACATACAGAATACAAAAGAGAGTACATTGTTCATAATTACTACGTCATGCATAATTACTACGTCATGCATAATTACTACGTCATGCATAATTATGATAAGTTATCGCGATAATGTCAATTATTTTCTACACATTCCCCCCTTGATTAACCAAGGTCAATCAACTGTCCATTGTCATTAATCAATAAATGTCAACACAACGTCTCGCAGCTTAATTAACAGATCAATATTTACAATCAAGTATTAAAGTCTTGTATTGCATTAGGCACATAGTCTCGAACGAACTTTATCTGTGGAACAGTCCCTGGGTTTTTCGTAGAAATTTCAATTGGATACAATCGTTGAATCGGTCTTTGTAGTTGCTGCACTTGACCTCCAGACGATGTTCTAATAGTTGCTGCACGTACATTCCCGTCTCGACCACGCATTAAATCTTCAACTCTACCGACTTTCCATAGCTGTCGAGGAATTTTATCTTCATGAACCACAACAATGTCTCCCTGGCTGATCGAATCACCTGCTGAACCATGCTTTTAATAGTTTGTGCTGTTCTCATAGTTCCGTCAAATATTCCTTACGCCATCGTTCCCAGAAATGATTTAATACTCGAGTCAGGAACCTCTCTCTCCTTCTTGCATCATCAACTAGGTTGTCGTTGGTTTTCTTTTCCTGCGTTATTGGATTACTTAACAATCGTCGACCAACACACATGGTTGAAGGCGTGAGTGGTTCGCACATTTCTTCGTGCACGTACGTAGTGGACGCGAATTTAGAATTCCTTCCACTTGAATTAAAACAGTCTCGAATTCTTCAAAGGAAACACGAGCATTGCCGAGGGTCTTTTTCAAACATCGTTTAACACAGCGCACCAAGCGTTCAAAAAATCCACCCCACCATGGGGCACGAGCGACATTAAATTTCCAAGTGATACCATACTGCTGTATGAATTTCTTTACAGTAGAATTCTTGAACGTCTTCCCATTGTGCGATACAAGGAAGCTAGGTACTCCGCGTCGTCCTATGTAACGCTGTAGACTTCGAACGTAAGCTTGCGCAGAAAGATCAGGAGCTAGTTCCAAATGAATGCCGCGTGCAGAGGCACATGTAAACAAGGCGATGTAAGCCTTGTACGTCGTCTTAGCTCGAGTGTAAACATTCTTTACGACACCGAACCTGCAAAGTCCACTCCTAACTGCGTATAAGCGAAGTGTTCAGACACTCTAAATTGAGGTAGTGGAGGTGGCAATGGTGCTCGGTAACATTTGCCTTCAATTCGTTTGCATGTAGTACATCCGGAAATTACCTTTCGAACTTCTTGTCTTCCCTTAACTACCCAATACTTGGATCGTAATTCGATCAATGTCTCGTTAACCCCATTGTGCATGACTCGGCTATGACATTTTCTAACGATCAGTGTTGTGTTATGATGACCCCTTGGCAAAACGGCTGGATGACGTGTACAGTAAGGTAATCGAGTGAAATCCAGTCTTCCTTGCGATCTTAAAATTCCATCCTCATCTTCGAATAGTCGCAACGACCTTTTTCTTTGCTTGAAATTAGGCTCTGCTCGAAAGTATCTCTGGGCGTCTTTTGTCCACGAAATTTCTGCTTCGGACAATTCGATTTCGTCTAGCTCCAAGGATGATGGTCGGCGTTCTTTCATTTTCCGCACACTTTTTACGAAGCGAACCACGTAGCAGGTGACACGAACGAGTTTCTCATAATCGCTGTAATTCTTACAATCGATTAACTCGCCAATAGTTGATTTCTCATCCTGAACCAAGGTTGTAGACACAGATTGTACTTCTTCAAATTCGGGCAATTGATCTACGAAATTATCCCCTTGAAACTTGGTATTCTTTGGCCAGCCAGACTCGTCACCTTGCAGGAAGTCCGGACCACACCACCAACTACGCATTTCTTTCAATTCCGATGCAAGTGAACCACGAGAAAGAATGTCCGCGGGATTTTGGTCGGTTGGCACATGACGCCACGATTTCGGATCAATTAACTTCCTAATTTCTACAACTCGATTTTGAATAAACAGTTTATACTCTTTTCCAGTCCCTGTAATCCATCACAGGGCAATCTCTGAATCCAACCAACAGACAACGCGATCAATCTTGTATTTTCCTTCCAGTTCACGTCGAACATGTGACATTAATCTTGCAAGCACCAGCCCAGATAACAGTTCTAGTCTCGGAATTGTTTCTCCACCTATGGGAGCGACTTTTGACTTGGATGCAACGAGTTGACACGAAACAAGCGTTCCTGTTCTGATACGAATATACACTACTCCTCCGTACGCTTTCTCCGAAGCGTCACCGAATCCGTGTAATTCTACTGATCTGATTTCCTTTCGATCAATCTGAGGGCTATAGCATCGATTCAAATCGACTGTCGAGGTTTCTTTCATATTTGTCAACGCGGATTTCCACGATTTCGCTGTCTCATCTTCGAGAACATCATCCCAGGTAATGTTCTTGTCCTTGAAAATGGCTTGAAACAGTATTTTCAGTAAGGTCGTAATGGGGGACAAAAGTCCAAGAGGGTCGTACACCTTAGCGATTGAACTTAACACAATTCGTTTTGTAACTGATTCTTCTGTCAGATAAATAGTCAGTCCGTCAAAACTGAATACCAACTTGTCGCTCTTTGTATTCCAGGTTATGCCGAGAACCTTTGGGAACTCTTCCTCAGGATTCACTTGCGGTAAACCTGTCTTCGAGAAGCTCTGATCTTCTTCCCAATCCTCGCATGTCTTGGTCGTATCAGACCCTTCAATGCTGGCAATCTTCTTCCCCAATACGTCGCTGTTCGTTTGACATTTACGCATATTAAAACCTCCGTCCTTAAATCTTTTCTTCAACTTATCATACAGTGAATAACCCTCGGATACACTTGAGGCTGTAGGCTTGAGATCCGTTTAACAGAAAAGGGCTCGAGTTAACCCCAAAGACAACTCTTGTGAATCTTCTGATAACAATTTCTGGATTGTCCTTTGTTATGTCCAAAGAAACCGTAGAAAATCTCGATTATCTGGTGCAATTGAGACATTTAAGAACGCCTTTTCAATATCGCTTGTGATGCCAATGCTCTGCAGGCGAAATCTCAATAGAATATCAAAGATTAATGGAGTGAGAGATGGCCCTGCATACAAACAGTCGTTTAAACTTGGACCATCCTTCTTTGCAGACGCATCGTACACGACACGAAGCTTAGTTGTCTTCTTATCCGTACGTAGAACCGCTCGATGAGGCAGGTAGTGAATCCTTCTTGGTGAATCTTTCTTAGTGAATTTTTCTTCATTAGATACTGGTTCAATAATGTTGACTTGAAGTTCTTCCTGAATGACTTGAGCATACTGTCTTAACAATTCTGGATTTGATTTAAAACGTCGCACAAGACTTTCCAATCTTGTCTTACTCGACTGATAGTTGTCTGGCAGTGGTGGATGGGTTTCCTTAAAGGGCAGTCTGACTTCATATCTTTCACCATCAAATGTGATATCGTTCAAGAATTTGTCATAAACAGCTGGCTCATTCGACTTTATTCCAAGGGGTTCTAAGTCCCAGAATGTTTTGATATCTTGTTCAAGTGTGTTCTCTTGAACAACTTCAGATACTACCCTTAGAACATGGGTCTCACTAAGATTCACAGTCGACTCATTTGTACAGCTTTCACCTTGGACAGGACCTGATAAAACATAACCCAATTTGGTACTCAATGCAACTGGAGCCGAACCAGAATCGCTACGAACAACTTCCTCAGAGACTAACAACCAATAGTAATCAGCACCAGTTAATAAATCGATATTCAGATCTGATGAGTGGGTTATGTCATCTGCTAACTTCAATGATTGTAAATGACTGTACTTATGTTGATGCAAATTAATGGATTGGTTACTAATGGGTGAACAGATGGTGGGCACAACGTAGGCAGTAACATAAACTCTTTCCCTACTTGGAGTCTTGATTGCTAGTTGGACAATGTCACACTTCCTCAGTTGGGCATGCGACTCGCCAAAGGTTTTTATCAACAAGGTATCACTACCACTCGAAGGGAGGCCTAGGGATTTCTGGAGTCTTTCTGTCACATAACTCCGCTGGCTACAGCTATCAAAAATCATTCTAATATTCTGTGTGCTACCAGGTGTTTCCACATGTGACACTTGAGCTCTAGCAGTTTGTAAGAGCACATTATTTTTTGTACTAACAAACATACTGGTTGATGGTGTTCCGATGGCTTCAGAATCAAATTGTGGTGTAACAACTGAGTTTGGTGGGTGGAGGGTACTTGCGGGACAAACTGGATTACCTGGGGAGTACGGAAATTGAGGTGCATGCATGTTTGTTGCTGGATAGGTTGGTACAAATGGGTTGCTGGATGATATATTTGTCTGTTGTGGTGTAAATGGAAATGCAGAGGCATTTGGTACATGTGGGGTATTGGAATGACAAGGTGGGCCAACTGGGTAGTATGGGGGTTGATGTACAAGCATGTTTGTTGATGGACATAAGGGTACAAATGGAGGATTTCTTTGTTGTGGTATATTTGGGTTAATTGATTGTGGGGTGTAGGTCTTAGGCTTACTACGGGTTTCACATATGGATGTATGATGATTATTACCACAGTTATAACAGGGTTTTCCCGATTTGCAATCTCTAACTAAGTGGCCAGTTTTAAGACATTTGAAGCACTTACCCCGTCGACGCAGAATCTGCTTTCTAGCAGAGATATCGGTCACAATCGTACAGTTAGATGATGGATGGTTCCCATTACAAAATGTACACCATGGCCCTTCCCTTGATTGAACACTCTTGTTCTCTGTTAGCAAGGCAGCTGTAGATGATTGATAACGATTGATATATTTCCCTTTGTCTCTTTGACTGAAATGTTGTTCTTTTCGCTGACCAGTACCACTGATAAGTGGCACATTTCTCTCGCAGTTGCAATTCTGTATTAAATTTCTTGAGAAGTGGTCTAATTTCCACTCACCAGATGGCAAATCCCTTGTAATAATAATCCTCAATTCTTCTGGAATCTTTGACATAACAACTGGAGCAAGAAATGAACCATATGTATCTGGAGAAACACCAACATTTCGTAGACTTCGAACATGCGATTCCAACTTGTCATAAATATTTCTCAGTTTCTTCACCTCACCCATTGATGTAGCTTCAGGTAGTTTCAACAAGGAATCCATTTGACTTGAAATAACAACTTGCTTATTCCCATATCTTTCCTTTAGTAATTTGATAGCTTCACAATAATTTTCCTTTGTAAGCGAAAATCCACTGATTGTTTCTGCTGCAGAACCATGTAATAATGATTTCAAGTAATTGAATTTGTCCACATCACTTAATGACGAGTTTGACCCAACTGCAGAACCGAATGAATCCCAAAATGCATGCCAGTCAACAGGATTACCCGAGAATTTATTCAGAGATAATTTAGGTAATTTAGCCTTGACGGGTGCAGTACTTGGTGTAAGAACTGGTTGATGTGGACTCACTTGAACTTTTGCATTTTCCGTCAATACAATCTCAATTTGAACGAGGTATTCGTCAACTGTGGCATTAAACTCTGAGCTATCAATAATTTCCTTCTCGATATTATCTTTCGCGTCCAAAAGATCAACAATTTCACCATTTATGCTTTCCAAGAGAGCAATTTTATACCTTCTAAAATTCGTTTATTTACCTGTAGCTTCCAACAGATATCTTCAGTAATTTCACCAGCAATCAACTCACGAGATTTTGTCATAACGCTTTCTGCAAACGTACGGTGGCCTTGACGTGCCTTGATTTTCTTCTTGACATCCGCGACCGCCATACTTGATATATTTCAACGAGATTCAATACAAATATTTCGACAAAATTCCAACTTTAAACATTTGAATTTACTCTAAACTAGACTCAATACTTCCCGGGAGTCGGCACCATGAAATAAAATGTTGATTACTTCTGATTTATTCGTAAACTTTGAGAATTTTTCTTGATAAACTTCGATGAACTTCAAAACATGCAGAATACAAAAGAGAGCACATTGTTCATAATTAGTACGTCATGCATAATTACTACGTCATGCATAATTATGATAAGTTATCGCGATAATGTCAATTATTTTCTACAGGCCTATTAATCCACACAGGAATCGCGAAACCAAATATTTGTGCTACATGAGCAAACCCGCTTAGCAATTCGTGTCCGTGGGTAACATAACGAAAGAACTTTGTGTGTGTGTTGGTGTTATGTACTCGGGTGAAAATGATGCTTGCGATGTTACTCTAAGTGTGCATCCACACCGGGCAAGCTGAAACGTTTGCCTGACAACGGTGGGAATCGAACCTGCGACCTTTGGGATACTAGTCCACCAACTTCCAATGCTAGCTCTACCAACTGAGCTACGAGTATATGTTTTTGAAAATCTACCAACTTGACCTCGTATCTCAGTTGGTAGAGCATTGGAATAGTATCCCAAAGGTCGCGGTTTCGATTCCCAACGTGGTCAGGCAAACGTTTCAGCTTTCCCGGTGTGGATGCACACTCAGAGTAACATCGCAAACATGATAACTAAAGAATTTACAAATAGACTACACAGAAGCCCGACTTCTTGGTTTCTCCTTGGTCATCAAAATGCTGACGCCATGGGCCCAGCCAGTGCGCGTTTGAGAGGCATTCACCCTCCTGAAAATATTCAAAATGGCGGACGTCCATGGGGGTAATGCCTCTCATAAGCGCACTGGCTAGGCCCATGGTGTCAGCTTTTTGATGATGAATCATGGCGTGGTAATCGTGGAATCGACCTTCTGTATGTCTTTATTCTGTGATTGCAGCTTGCATGCTCACGTCATTGTGCGTGTACAGCGGCGTCAAGTTTTTACGAGGAAAACGACAATTTTGCGTTTTTAAAGAAAATGGCATTACAGAGTTTTTTATATTTTGCTACTGTTAGTTTATGTTCTAAGTAAAGCAATGCGCGACTTACTTAATTACCGTGCTTCTTTAACAGCTGCATGAGGAAATAGCTAAGCTATTTTAGACTATGTTTCGTACGCGTGTGGTGCCATAGAAACGAACTTATGTGTTATCAAAACGTAATTTGAAACAAGAAATGTTAAAATATAGTGAACATCTCGATATCTGCTGCATGTCTGTCAAATTGTTGTGTACGAAACAATGCATTCTGATTGTAGTGACAATGAACCAAAATAATACATCTCTCAAAAGTGTAAATAAACACTGAAGAAGGTGATTTGCATACCAATTAAGGTGGAGAGATCTGTTGAAAACAATCATCCCGCGTGGCCTCGCGGACAGTAATCGCATCGCCTATAACCATGTAAAACAAATGTCCAGTTGAACAAGCAAAGACTTGGATAACAGTTAAAGTAATATTATCGTAGTTTTTGCTTTGGTATATCTAAAGCAAGCGTGAAGTCACGTTTGTCAATTGCGGTAGACATGTAAATTAAAGGTGAATGCACAAGGCGGATTGGCATGTAGAGTCATGTACATGTTAGTACTGAGTATCCAAGTTAGTATTGAGGTTAGGGTTATGATTTGGGTTAGGATTGGAGTTTAGGTTAAAAATGTCTCGAAATTTGCGTTCGTATGCCATTCCGCACTCATTCCGCATGTCAGTATGCTTGACTCTGTTTGGATATTTAGCTCGAAACGTAGAACCAGCAAATATTCCCAATTTTCCTTAATATTTATACCAGTGCATTTCGCCAAATAATGCCAAATATTATTCGTGAATGACGTACCTTCTGTTTTCTTTTCACAATTTTTAGACATTCAGTGGCATCAACGATGCAAGCACTCAACACGTAAAAGTTCTTTCGTATCCTATATTTGCAAGGTTTTTAAGATTTCGTCCAGCCTTTTCGTCAAGCGTGTATCCAGGAACTGGTTCCCATATGTGTGCTTTAAGGGTAGAAGTTAAAGGCTGTGAGAGTAAAGGTAAGCAGTTTCCACAAGATAAGGAATTGTCAGATCCATATTTGCATGCAGGATCTATAGTGCCCTGTTTCTGTTTCTTATATTAGGCTTCTAAATACTATGATTTATATATATAGTTTTACTTGCTTGCTGATTTACGCTGTTCCGGGCATAAGCCCGAAGCGAGGGTACTATAAATTCCGCTCGGCTATTTACACCCGGGGAAGGAAAAGCATTAGCAAAGTCTAAAGTTCATCAATAATCGCGAGCGCGTGGCTATGTTTGATCGTGTCATGGGTGGACCTCCTCACTGATCTCAAAAATATGGCTGTTTGCCAGGAGTAGAATAAGCATTGTTGTATAAATTCATTGTTGTATAAAAAATTCTTTGTTGGATAGTTAAACGGAAATGGCAATATAATATTTTATTTTCTCATTTGAAAGAACTTTTGAAACTACATATTAACTTCTTTTACCGATTTTTCATATCTTGCTTAGTTCTTGAAATATTTTTCCTTGAAGTAATGAGATGTTCGCCATCTTGGATAAATTTTTGATCTAATTAACGGTAGTTTTGGTGACGTCACAACAGGGAATAACCATATAAAAGTATTTGTTGCTGACCAAATACTGATTGGCAGATGTTTTAAAGATTTTGAATTATCTTGATATTTCGAAGGGCAGATAGAGTATAGTTTTGACTGCAAAATGATTAGTGGTTGTCTAGATAAAAAATATTGCGTGACCCTTGTTGTGACGTGACATGCATATCTACAAAAATTGAAGATGGCGGACATTTCATTCCTTTCGATCAAAATATTTGCAGAAGTAAGCAAGATATGAAAAAACGATAAAAGATTATTATATACAGTCTTAAAAGTTCTTTCAAATGAGAAACTAAAAATATATATTGCCATTTCTCTTTAAAAGTTTATTTTTGCTATTTTATACAAAAAGATATAAAGTTTTTTAAAAATTAAAAAATAATCGTGTTCCTATGGCAACACTTGAGTTGATGCGCAACGCGAGGCTGCGTGCAGCGTTGGCCAATCCCAAACACCTCATGTTAAATCAACGTTTGGAAAATATGGGCGAGGGGTTGCTGCATGCATGCATTTCTATAGTAATATTCTTAATATGCCCAATACTCACAGTGTGGAAACCAATTTTAGCTGAAAATGTCAGCGTTATTAAATAATGCTATTTATTATATAAACATAAGTGTTATGTAGAGTTTTTGGCCACTGAGAAAAATCGTATTTAAACACACGTAAAAATACGATATTTTTACGTGTGAAAATATCATTTGTTGTAAAACGCATTGCCACGGACGTTTTATTGTTTTTCACTGAATATATTTTGTTTATATAATAAAAATACATTGGTGCTTGGAAATACCAGATTTATTTCTCGTGTTGAACATGATATCTCACTCGTTTGCTGCGCTCACTCGTGAGGTATCATGTTCAACACTCGAACTAAATCTGGTATTTCCGCGCACCCAGGTATTATTCTCTATATACATCATTGATCGTCATCATCATCTAAGTTACTGTAACTGGATTATTGCCATGTGACCAAAAACGAATGGCAACAATACGGTCAAATGTCTCGGGCATCCAGCGGGATTGGACAATGCTTCGACAGCAAATTTGAGCAATAGTTTTCTGGCCAAATTACAGCACGTGTCTGCGATTGTAACTGCGTCAATTCTGAAGTCAAATGCACCCATGTATGTAGCAATACACGGCAACTTCGCCATTTTCGGTTGCAACCAAGGGCGAGAAAAGAGTAATGTCAGGCGTTAAAAAAACACACCGCCAACTTTAATTGAACATATCCCACTCCTGTTCAGTGTTAGGAGATTATCAGGAACATATATGACTTTTCTTTGAAAGTTTCTTAGAATTTGCATCTGCGTTGGACAGAAAAGTTAAGGCACAATTACGGTTCATTTAGGCACGATTCATTTTGAGTAAAATAGCTTTTGGGTGAAAGAATAACACCACAATGAATGCTAAATATGGCGAGAAAAGAAAAGGGGAGGCGGGGAATTTGTGAAGCCTCTCTTCCCCCATACTGCATGCTCTTTTCAAAATGATAGCTAATTACGCAGTATATATACCGCATTTTACTGGAAAAGAAAATCATAAAAATTCTATTTGCTTTTCAAATATTTCATATATGACGCTGGTGGTGACACTCAGGCAATAAAAAACAGGACTCCGTGCATGCCCAAGAGTTGACCTTGATGCTATCAGGGCAAGCACAGCGAGTACTGGTTGAAATGGAAGCCGTTGCCTAGGGGGAACGATGACAGCTACTTTCAAAATCAGGATGAGATTAACATGAACGACATTCAGTTCACATTATCAACGATGTCAACGACGAGAGCAAGAACCAGTTTTACAGCTGATATACACACTATATATAGGCTCCGCAGTAGGTGTGGGTGTTAACGCCAAGGTTGGTTACGGAAATATTGGATGGCAGAGCAGTTTCTGGAACACCATAAACTTGTAAAGTTTGTTTATTTGTGTGCATCATCGGTGGAAGTATTATTATCCACAAGAACATTTATAGAGACGTTGATGTAAATTCACCAAAAAAGCAGAGATAAAAAAAGTCCATCAGTTTATCGGTAAAATATGCGAGCCAAGAGAGGATCCTCGCCTTGTACTAACCAGCCCAAATCAAGATAAATGACTTCTGAAAGAGACATGCAGTAAAGGAATAACCCGTATAAATCTCGTTTACAAAAAAGGATTTCTATGCCTCCACCAATAAGCTTGAAGAGAGAAAAGTGAAAGACTAAGATTATAAACCAACTATTGTAGATGAAGGGGACAAAAATAGAACTTCGCGGAAGGAATTAGGCAGTGTCTTGTACAGCAATCACCCACTGAATGAATGTAGCCAGCTAACGAAAGGAAGATATTTATATTGGACGTGAAGAACGACAGTGCAACATACCGGATAATATCACCGAATCCACAGTGAGCCTGAACATACTGGGACAGTACGTGAAATGCTCGTACCTCTGTTTGGCTTGATTCCGAAAAAGGGGGACCACAGACCCTGTTCAATACACAGAGATCCCACAATGTTTACACCAGCTAGGGAACTTTTTTAATAGAATTTTTGTGAATTAATTGAAGGATCCGATGATGTTGACAAGGGAATACTGCATGGTATATTGTATTGCGAGGGCAGTTCTACATTATCAAGTAAAACTGCCCTGCGTATCATCCTGCAGACCATGCAGTGAAATTCGCTCATTTACGCAACATTAAATTTTCACTAAATGTAATATAGGATGCTAAAAAGTTGCCAGTTTTCACGTCGCGGCCTATTATTTGACGATTTCAACAAATATGTTGTACAATGTTCAGAAGACACGGGCATCAGTTTAGAAAAGTCACTGCTTGTTTTTTTTTATGTTTTACGAAGTGTTCAAGACAATAAAAATCCCTTGGTAAACATCTTCGTAAATTCTATTATTTTTGCATGTTTGTAAGATACTTGCACTGTCTTAGTATAGGCGTGAATGTAACGTATTTGTAATTGTAATTATTATACATTGTAGTAGCTGCATGCGTTTTGACTGGTTAATAGCTTACAGCTAAATATGGAAATCACGCAACCTACACATAACACAGTTATCTGTTAGCAGATAAGTGAGTCATGTGTAGGTTGAGCCCGCGGTATGTAATTTTGTAAGAAGCTGTAGTTTTAAATATATAAATAAAAACATGGAAAAAAAACGTGAACGAGCGGCGTTTTCGTGAATGCTTTGTGCAAAAAGCAGATCTTTTTGGCATTTTATCAGAACTTTAGTAGGTAAATGGGATTTCTAATATTTTATGCTGTTATTGTGATATTTTACATCGTTTTCACTGCTTTGTTTGAGAACCAAAGTTGTTTTGTGCGACATACTCATTGTTTGCCGAAAGAGTTAAAGAAGATGCAATCTATAACACTTATCTCGACCTTGATAATTGTGGATATCACAAAAACTTCATCCAATAACTGTTTATTATTAGTGTAGCTATTATTGTATTCGCAATCGTTATATTTGCTGCCAATTTCTTTTCTAGATATCTGGTTCAATCCAGTTCCTCTTGGCATGAGCAGTAAATTGATTTTGGACTCGCAAATGAAAGTTTCGTCCTCGAAGTTCTATACATCCGGTGCCGATAATGGAAGAAAAGATTTGACAGCAATACCTAATGTCCGACATGGTGGTTGGATAGCAGCAGATCATGATAGTGATCCTTGGTTTCAGGTTGATTTTATTGTCAATGTGACTGTCAACATGTTATATATGCAAGGATTGTCTGGCACGAACCATAGTGTGACAAAGTACACAATTGCTTCGAGCGATGATGGCGAAACATTCTCCGATTACAAAACAAATAACCAGCAAACTGCAAAGCCAAAGGTAAGATGTAAATTCTACTCACTGCAAATCAAGGCGCGTATACATGTAAGCGCGTTTCTGCAAACTACTGTACAGGGTGTATCAAAAAAAGCGCAATCCTCGACTGAAATGTAAATTGCTAAACAAATAATAGACGAAAACGTTAAAGTTTACATTCATTTTAAAGCGTAGCCATTCAGCTTTCTAACAGTGGGTTGTTTCTTAAATTTGACTCATTGGTTCGCGGGTAATAATACTTTACGTTATTGCGATTGGAGATTAAAAAAATTGAGATGGAATAACAAATCGTTCTCATGAAAATAACTGATTTTTTCATTAAAACAAAAAAATGTTGCATTTTAATAAATGGATTGTAACAATAAGTATAATTACGGCTTTTCTTCCACTATTTTTAACACAGTTTGAAACTTCAAATGCGATATAATTTTGGCTTGGACCATCTAAGCTGACTGACATCAGCTTGCTATAATTTCTGTTTACATTACATCGCAATTCGATGACACTCTGGCTCAGACACCAGAATGTTTTGATTCTATGATTTTTAGCATTCGTTTAGGATTTTCAAACAACCTGGTCTCTTTTAAAATACTTTTAATTTGTTCTTACGTGGTTTTCCAGATGTAGTGACGACAACATTAAAGTTTAAAGAAGAAAATTCTAACATTTAAACCGACTAAACAATAACATAGTAAACTTGCATAATTAAACAGCAACTAAAAATGATAGGTTTTACTAAATCTTTTCCTGTGCAATTATTACTAGCATTGGAGACAAGGATAATAGTTTGTTTGAAAGAGAAAAGAACATGCTTTGAAGTAAGCCTAAAAGCGTTTAACTAGAAATAGTATTTCGAAAGTTATTAAGCACAAAAGATGAATTGCGTTTATTTTGATACACCCTGTATACCGTTCCGTCTGTTCTTCGGGAGCCAGTTGTTCAAAGCTGGATTAGCGCTAATCCTGGGTTAAAATTTAACCCGCTGTTTTGGTTGTGTATTTCTATGTATACGTCCGTTTATTATCTTCAGAAAGGAAAACCCCTGTTGATCCAGACACGATTTCTGAAGAAATATTTCCAAGTTTATCAACAAGCTGTTGGGGTTTTAGGTTAACCTAGGGTTAAGCTAACCATCGTTCGAACAACCTACCCCAGACCTTAACACCTGCTTTCTATGTGGTCGTAACTGTCTCATCATAGAACCATAGTCTTTATCAGCATCCATGTTAGGACGGCTTAGAATGTATAACTTTTTTTTCTGATTTCCATGATATGCAACTATATATGGTAAACGATAAAGCATTTTGTTTTCATCTGGTGGTCGGTTGTACGAAGGCCGGGTAGCGCTACCCACCTAATAGTGATTTTTTCAAGCTTGGTAAAATTTACCGTTGATTGGCATAACCCAGATTAAAATCAACAGGGAAGGCTAGTAGATGCTGTGTCACAATAGCGGAAGTCAAACAATTATGCCACATGATTTGTTGTGACATCACTTGCAAGGCTGAATACATCTAAGCTCCCTAATTTTCAAATTATGTCGTAGACCGATTTGAAAAATGGTTGACATAATTATCTTTCTCCCAAAATGAATTTCGACCAAGGTAATCACTGCCGCATTATAGAAGGCTATTAATTTACGAAATATAAATATAATACCATGAATATTTTCCTTGAGAAATTAAATCTTTAAAATACCAAAGGTTCTGCTAGATTTAAAGAGTCATTGTCAACCACAATGCATTTGTTCACATCTTACCTTCGGAAGTGGCGAATAGCAACAAATGACGATTATAAACATTTCTTTGGTGCAATTTTAGTATAAAAAAGTTAAAATGAGCAAGTATAACCATAGGATGGTAGTAATATATTATGGATTGAAAACCGAATCATCTATTATTCCGCCATCCTAAATGGCCGCCAAGCAGGTTTGGGCGCACAATGCATTGTGGTTGACAATGACTCTTTAACAAAGAAGATTGGCTAGCCTCGTTCTGGTGCTTTTTGTGCTCTTCAAAGGGTTATAATTTCACTTGCCTAGATTGTTTTCATTCTTGAACTGTACGCTTTGCCTTAGATATCAGTCTCTGTTGAAAAATTGTTTATTAGCTTGGTAATGCATAAAATATAAATTGTGATGCCTATAGTTTTCGAATCGGAGAAAAACACATATCATTTCCGCATTGTTTTGCATGGCATCCATGTTCTAAAAATCCTTTACTTCATTTTGCGATGTCTGAAGACGGACCGCATGCACGAAGCGTGCATGGCATTAAATGAGAAACAAAAAAGTATCAGAGAGGTGTCAACGCTGGATCTCTTTAACACATATATTATTACTTTAGGTATTTAGCGTCATTTCCTGGCAAGATATTTTCCCGCACGTCTTCGCTCGCTTTATCCGGATTCACCCAAAGGAGTGGAATGGTTCATGTGCAATGAGGGTGGAATTTTATGGTAGATATAAAGGTATGTACAAGTATGTATGGTGTATGACTAGAAATTAACACAGATTACGACACTCTGTAAACAGTACTTACTCCAAAAACTTCTATAAGATTAGGTAATCCAGACGACTGTAACAATACATACGCAGATAACTGTAGAGACGAATAACGATTTGCGATTTACTGATGAATACAATTCATTAAATGATATATCGTTAAACAACCGTAAAGTCTGTTTTCTACTAGGAGAATTTATTCGAGCTTAAGCGACTTTTTCGTCGGCAAACGCGATGCCGACAAAGGAAAAAGTCGCTTCGTGCGAACAACTTCGCCAAGTGGAAAACGGGATTAAATCAGAATTTTCCTAAAAAATTATTTCTAAGATTCGAGGATGAATTTACTTAAATGATCGTGATGTCGATGTACTGGCGTTTAGAGAAACTAGACTTGAATCTGATTTTCCAAAAGAATTAATTTTTATCCATGGGTATAATTGGATTGGTAGAGATAGAAATAGGCTTGCTGGTGGGATTGGCTTTTATATTATTATGAAATAATAATGCTGACATCGAAGTACTAACTGTCGAAATATCTAAATATGAAACCAAACCTTTTATAATAAGCAAGATATGAAAGCATTTAGAATAAGGCCAAACCCGTAAATGTAGTAACACAGGTCGAAATAATTTGAAATAACTACATATATTTCTCGTCATAACTTTGTCAATATAGTAGGTACGACGTACATTCAACTATATTTGAATTCCTCAAAGTCTAGCGATCACAAATATATATAAATTCTGTAGTCTGAGTTTTCGAAGAGCAATGAATAATTTGAGTTTTCGAAGAGCCGAATGAACTCAGGGAAACCATGACAAAATCAGAGCTACACATATTCGAATGTTGGGACAATAAAGCAGCTAAAAACCTAAAACAATGCATGAATGATGTAATGCTTTAGTTGTAAATAAGAGAAACTTGCTGAGAAATGAGTGAAACCGGTTTAGCCGTACTTTTCATGAGCCGAACTTAATTCATATTGTAGTGCACTAAAATAGGCTTCTATTTAATTTTGATTCAAGCAGGCGTGCTTTTCATGAGCCGTACTTGCAGGTAAGCTACGTGAAGCGTTCCTCTTTTGACTTCCTAACTCATTTGGAATTTTCCTCATTATACTTTGCAAATTTGAAAAATTCTTTGCAAACCCTTGAGGGGAATTTGCAATGTTCCTATCGGCTGTTGGGCCCTGTTGCGATATTCCAATAAAAAAAACTTTTCTAACTTCCTGTTCTGTTCTGAGAGTTGTCATATGGTGGATTATTTTTGTTTATAGCCAATTGCAACGCTTAGAACAGAACGGGAAGTTAGAAACTTGTAACAGGAAGTTACGAACTTCTAATAGGAACTCAGGAAAATTTAATCGCCTTTTAGCAACATTGCAAATTCCCTCAAGGGATTTGCAAGGGCGTTTTTAAATTGCAAAGGTAACGAGGAAAATTGCAATCAATTTAGAAACTCAAAAGAGGAACGCTTAACGTAGTTTACCTGTAATTAACTGCGCTTCTTCCCTTTGAATCCTGGGGCAAGTGACGTTCATAACAACAAAACTGACGGTCTTTTTTAAATATAATCTCATACGATCTTCGTAGTTCTCGTAATTAAACAGCTTTATAAAAAGCTATGCAAACTAAGCATGACACCTGGACGGAAAAGGATTATTTTCATAAGAAAATTGCTTGCGAAGAACAAAACAAGACGAAAATTGTTGCATAACTATCTTGATGGCCACTGTTACCCTGAGAAGAATAATGTTGCGAAATGCCATGCTGCACTGCCATAATGCATTCGATTTTTCGATACACATTGAATGCATTTTTATGTTGTTTCCCTTTACATGTGATACAGGCAGCCATGTTGTCAAATGATTCCCGTGTGGGTGCTAATTTTCGCGCGTGAGAACGAGAACAATAGAAGTATGCACATTTTACTATTCTCATGATTTATGCATTTAGAACGGCTAGTGACAAGTACGGCTGTATATGAATCAACCCCCGCTGCAGCCGTGAAACGCGCCAGAACCCTGCGAACTTTTTAATTCAGCCGTGTTTAATATGAGTACAGTGCTTATTTGATTCAGAAGCCGTACTTCTCGTGTACTTAATTCAGTTAATTAAGTTCGGCTCATGAATAGTGCGGGATCTAAAACCGGACCTGAATCGCCGCAACTGTTTAGCTTTGGAAACAGGGCCTTTTTTAACTATATAACTGGGGTTGAGGAAGGGGGTCAAAGTTCCCCCAGCCCCCATAGTGGGATGCGTCAATAATTTCAGCGCTGACGCTGATCGCCTAAGTTTTGGAATGTATATGGAATTCAACATCTCCGTACGGTATAAGGTTTTAAAACGCTGATTATGCTATAATTATCTTCTGGACTGAGATTTCATATGGATTTGTCAAATATCTTTATAAGAGACTGTCCTAAAAGGGGGCCAAATTTTCTAGGAAATATGGCGGGGGGGGGGGCAAATTTAAGGGGGGGGGGGTATTTAATTCCTATTCATGTTTTCGATTTTACCTTCATTTCCAGGATGTTACACTCCTGAAGACCTGGGTATGGAGAACAAGAAGATTTTAGGGAACCAGTTGAGTGCTTCGCGCGAAACATCGGCGGACCAGACAGCTCCGTGTGGCAGACTGAACGGAAAAGGTTGGCAAGGAGGAAGCGGAGATTTTGATATGTGGTATCAGGTTGACTTCATGAAACGTGCTAAGGTCACTGCCATAAAAACGCAAGGCGGTGTATCCTATTATGTCAAGATATTCAAGCTTTCATACAGCAATAATGGAATTGATTTTCCTGAATATGTGGATGTCATGGGGACAAAGGTATGGTAATATTACTATTTTACTTACACCTTGCAAGTTAAAATAGTGGGAAATACATCTAGCTTCTGTCCCTTTGTACTAACATTAAAAACGTTTGGAAAAGTGAAACAATTAAATAGGTTTCAGTTTTTGTCTTCTTCTCCGAAACTATTTTAACAAGCTCAGTCCTCTCGCTTGCACATATTTAACAATTATTGAGTGAGGTTGGGCATGATATGGAGAATTATTATTTATTTAAAAGGATTGATGGTTTCTGATTGGCTACCAGCCAACTGTGAAATCTTCATATCAACTCAATAGCTGACTAAATATGGCGTTTTGAAATATTATTCAACGAAGTGACGTCATAACGAAAATATCTGAAAAAATCATTCAAAGTTATGACGTCTTGCGATGGAAATACGAAAACCAAACGCAGACACACGACCAAAACAATATGGCGCCATCTTCGGCCCACTGATCTGTACTAAGACTGAATAACGCATCTTCATAAATTCGGTCAAAAAGTGAAGTCGGAAGTGAAACTGTCGCCACCCAATTAAAGGGTCTCATTTTACTTTTCTTGTTTACAGAATCATAATTTTTGTGCTTTTTTTTGTCTTTTACACGTTGCTGATTAATTCTTCATATCATGCTCAACCTCATTCAATAATTGTTTTATTATTTATTTAAAAGATGAAAAAGATATATATATATATATATATATATATATATATATATATATATATATATATATATATATATATATATATATATATATATATATATA